CAAATGTATGTCTCTATACGTTCAGAAGCCGCCGCACTATTCGATGATTGAATTAATGCCAAGAGCGATAAGTTGATTCGTTCTGGGCCATTTGAGGCATTATTTTATTTGTTCATTTATTTGTTCCATGTGTATTCTATAGCAACATATCCGAATACACTTGGAATAGTTAAATTATATATATAGTCGCTTACCTGTACAGATATATGTTGTGTACGTACATTCGTCTACTTTTCACAATACATGTGCACCGCATATGCTATTGTTGTACATTCTCATACACACACAGTCGTCGATTGCACTTCATCGGTCCACGGCTTATGCCTACCTACATTTCTACCGCTTATACCTATCGCGTATACCTACCTTCGCAGCTTGCTGAGTTACAAAAGGAAATGCTGAAAATGCTCGACACCTTAGCTGTTCCATCAGATTTGGTCAAGACAGTAGAGGCCACTCTGAAGTGTAATCTCTGCGATGTAGACCAGGTGGGTGTCCCGTGCCCTTCTCGGGCAATATCTGTGGCATAAGTATTTTCGAGCCAAATATAGGCACTCCATAGGCAGGTTTAAAAGGCCTGGCCAGCCCCAAGTCACATTCACCGAACAGAAGTGGCGCTAAGTCTTTTCATTACAAATATAGACACTTCATAAGCAGGTTTCATGTGTTTCTATAGAACTGGTGTCAGGCACTGAGATCCGGTCCTCCTCATTTATAGTCGTTTGCCACGTGTTTGCAAAGAAATGATGTAACGTAGGGTGAACTCTGAGTTAGCCTGTTATGTTCTGCTGCGTTAGATCACCGTGTACCTACAGCTTCAGGCTACCTTTCCATGTATCGTATCTAGTGATAGTTCGACAAACTATAGTATAGCTCGCAAACTTGGGTTTTCCGTACTTAAACCTGTTTTTCTGTACTTAAACCTGGTTTTACTATAAAAAATCCAGCTCTGGAGCTCGGTACCAGTATCCCTGCGGATGAACACCCATGCACCCACAGCTTCAGGCTATCTCCTCACATACTGTTTTCAGTCATAGCTACATAGTTCATCCAACTAATTTAGCTAATCATCAACCTGGGTTGTACACAGACTAAAACCTAGTTTTACCTCAACTTTTCCAGCTCTGGGGCACAGTGCTCGTACCTCTGCGCATGAACACCATGTGTCTACGCGTACTCGCACTTGCCGACATCCGTGATCAACGCAGAGTGTTTCATCTGTGGGGAAACCTGTTGGAAGAAGGTACGCTGTCAAATCAAGTAGTATTATACATGAGTACATATCGGATGTGAGAAAATAGTGAATGTAGTATCTATATATTGTGTTCGTATATCTAAGTATTTTATCATCCAATGAAGATGTGGGGGAGGGGGGCGGTGGGAGGGAGCTATTCAGTGTGTGTAAAGATTTGTTTAACCAGCGCAAGAGTATAGTCAACAATATACTATGTGAGTGAGTGTATGTTTCACGTAGTGTAGGTGAATAGGAAGATATGTGAGTGTATCCATGCGAGGCGTGTTTATAAGCAATAGCCATCTCGCTTAAGTCTGTGTCTGATCCAACGCTTGAGTGTGTCTGATCCAATCTGACTTGTGGAATCCAAGCTTGTAGCTACTTGTTACAACCCCTAGACCCTACTTGTCATTCTGTGTGTGTATAGGCGATGTATTGAAACTGAAATTTGAATTTGGTATTTGTTAGTGTTGTACGATCCAATTAAGGCTGGATTTGCTATTTGCTTTGTGTGAGTGTGTATATGACCTATTCAATCTTAGGTTTGGACTGGACATATGCGAGTGCATGCACGATCCAATGAATGATCGATCGACTAAACGGGATTGATGTATGTACGAACTATTGAAGCTTAAATGGATATTAGATAATAGGAGTGTATCTGTTGCTACGTTTGCCTATATGTATATATATATATATGTAAATATATATATATATATATATATATATATA